ACATCACAGTATGCTTTTTTGAATTTGCATATATGTTTACAACTGCACAAAAGCGACTCAACTACAGGCATAACTGCCTAAGGCAGTGCGATGACACAACAGAGAATATAACCAGGCTGGCAATTAATATTATAACCAGTTGAGAGGATGCCTCGGCGAGAGATGCTGTCAGTACAGCAACAAGAGGAAAGCAATAGCCGTGAATGAACGGCAATAACGTGGTCAACAGAATGCATGCCAGTATCAGTTCTCAAAATTGAAAAGCAGTTAAGTGGACAATGCGGATGACAGGGTTGCAACACACTGGGGAATACTGATCGTGGGTACTGCCGAGAAGTTTTCTCAACGCGCAGCGGTTGAAAACCGCGAGTCTCAGCAGCAGCAAAAATGAATAAAAATAGGTTCCTTTCCTTGAAAGTTACTTTGATAATTTCACATGCGCTGATAAAATTCGGGTGATTCTCCACTGGAAAAGAAAAAGGACTCTGCGTATTTCCGGCTTTACACCAGCTTTACCAATTCCTTTCCATTCACAATCCGGAGAGGTGAACGAGGTGATATGCAACAATTCAGAAACAAGCAAAATCGAAATGACACAGCTATAGCATGCTTTTGAAATCGGGAAACAATCTGGGACGCCTCGAAATCCGAGATGTATGGTGATGACTACTCAGAATTAGTAGTAATCGATGCCTCCCATGTAAAATAAGTGGCCAGCGCATCGAGTGCCGGTGCGAAGACGCGTTTTTTGCATAGTTCTCCCAGATTTTTGTCGCAAACGGTATTGTTTTTTTTCGGTAGATGCTTCTAGCTAAAAGAATAGAGAGTGGCCGCCCGAACTGTCAGGAAACATCCCTTTAAAGCTTTCTAGCTTTCCTGGTTCCCGAGTTAGAAACTTACTCGCAAAAAACTTTCACGGGTCAGTACATAGAAACCACGCACACAAGGGGCCTGGGTTTGAAGCCATTAGCGCCTACGTGATCGGGGAACGTTCCCTTAAAATTACAGTCTTGTAACTCTTCAAGTTCCCCAGTTAGCAGATTACTCGGAAAAAACTTTCATGGGTCTCCGATGGATGGGTTTGAACTCATTAAGAGCTACACGGATAGGGAAAATTTTAGCTTTCTAGCTTATCCGGTTTCCGAGTTAGCAGTTTACCCGCTGGAGGTTTTGGCGAGCCTCTATGGGAGAACCATGTGGATAAGAGCGCCCATTTTGGAGATGGAGGCACATACGCACATGTAGATTAAGTTCCCAAAATTTCAGCCCTTTAGCTTTTGTAGGTCCTGGGATGAAAAATCGGTGCAGACGCATACACAGACAACCCTTCAAC